GGCTCTCTTTCCTGCCTATGCAGGGGGGTCGGACTCGATGATCTATTGAGGTCCCTTCCGACCCTAACATCTATGAATCTATAAGAAAGCTAATTGAGGCTTATCTCAAGGCTACAACCTCCAAGATGTAGTAAAAGTTATATGAATAACTGATTGTCACAACCCAAAGGGTGTGATTTTTGTTTTTGTGTGCTTCGGCACTGCTAAATTGTTCCCGCTAAATTACAGCTTCTTTGCACGGTGGAGTTTTCTGCTGCAAAAGAGAAGCCCGGTGCAAGGGAGAATTTCCCGCCAATTTGAAGCTTTCTTTGCAGGGTGCATTTCTTTGTTGCAGCACAGAAATGCTCGTTGCAAAGAGTTCCTGCCATTTGTATGCTAATTTGAGCCCCATTATTGGCCAGTTCTAAATTATTCACACGTAGCGGCTAGTGATTGGCTTGCTAGCCGTATAAAAGGCTTGAGTGATTTCCGCCCAAGTTGGAGGACTCCACGAACACCGGGAGGAGGAGACTTCACGCTGTGCAAAGATCTCTAAGCGCTGCGGATCCTTACGGACCCAGTGCATTTCAAGCAGGCAACAGAGGTCTGATCAACCTCTAGCCTCTCCCCGTCGCCGATCGCAGCCTAGACGTATCCCTTCCTGCGCGCACAAGAGCCGGACCCATGGAGCCTAGCAAACTTCGTGTGAGTCCTTGCCAGACGACCGACCTCAGAGCTCTTCTACCCGGGTTCGAGTCCTGCAGGTTTATCTTCCCGTCGCCGAAAACCCATTGCGACGTACCCTCATGTTTTGCATCCTCCCATTGCCGAAAACCCCTTGTGACGTACCCTTGTGCCCTGCAGGTTCGAGTTTTGTTTTGTTTTTGTTTTTGTTTTGTTTCCTGTCTGTAACTGCAACTTAAGCAAGTTTTCCAGCCTACACCACCGCCATCTCGGTGTAAGTAAACAATCTTTTAAACTACCGCTAAGCATTTGTGCCTAATTCCAGCTCGACAGCCTTCCCTCTCCGACCCGGCGTGCCCGGGCTGCTGACCACAGCCCGCGTGCAGCACGGAAAAGGGCTCGGGTCACTCCCGGCCCGCACACTGATATGCTTAAGGAAACAGTGGGCCGGTAAACTACAATTTTTACAAGATCACCATCATAAGTGTCATAACAGATAGTCTCACAACTCAGCTGTATTCCCTCACATTTTGTATTTGTTCCCCTTCTATGTTATCTAACTAATGTTAGATAGAATTAATTAGCAAAAGCTATCCTATAAATGCCTAGATTGCTTAGAATATTCTGTGCAATTTACTCATGTGTTTGTTCTTATTGGAATGTTGTGGCTAATATTCATTTGGTACCAGTGTTCATGATGGTATTTACAGAGCAAACAATGTATGGACGGAACCTGAAGGAATCAACTTTCTTCAGTGAGTCACCCGGCTCTCAAATACACATACTGAGGTGTCAGGCAGAACCTGTAAGTCACTAAAGGTTTTTTCTGGCCACCCTTGCTCTTTGCATTGAAATGAATGTAATCCCACATACATAAAAGTGATATGCCAATGAAAAACAGAGGCCTGAGGAAGAGTTCTTTGATACCTGAAAGCTTGCATATGTCTATTCCAGTAACTGACTTTGTCTAATAAAAGATATCATCCACAAGAATTCTCTCCTCAGGCCAATGCAAAATAGTCATAGGGAATTTGTAGACAACATATTAAAGCAGGTTAAATGCCCTTTTCCACTGCTTCAATGGTGTTGCTGTTTCCACAAGCTTGCAAATTCAGCAGCGTATTGCGTACTAATTCCAGCCACTGTAGCAAATCTGGTGGCATAATGCACCTTTAAATGACTTTGGGGCGCAGCAAACTAAAACAACTCTGAGGAGTTTTAGTTTGCTACCTTGCAGCTGTGGAGAGAATCACTAGGCTCTGTGCAACTGGGGAGCTGTGCAGATAGCTCCAGGAGCAGCCCAGGAAGCCAGGCTGCACTGAAGGGGGAAGGAAAAAAAAAAAAAAAAGCAGGGAGCCTGACTTATTTTTATTTTTTTTCCTCCCCCCCCCTTCTTTTCTTCCTTGGAGTCTGCCTACCTGAGCCACGTGGGGGCCTGATGTTTCCCTCCACAGATGTGGTGCACCCCCCAGGACCGCCCAAGCTGGGTGCCTGCGGGCCGATACTGCCTGGGGGGAGCTGCCATGGCCATGGAGGGAAGCACCAGCCCCCACCCCCACAGCAGCTCAGGGACTGATCAGCCCACTGGCAGCTCGCTCTCCCCTCATCGGTGCCAGAGAGGCAAGTAAGGATCACACTCTGACATGGGTGTACACACAGGGGGGTTTACTTCACCCATTCTCAGACCTGTACTCTTCAATGTCTTTATAAACAATCTGGACTCTGGTGTCAGAAGTGGACTGGCCAAGTTTGCTGATGACACCAAACTTTGGGGAGCAGTATCCACACTTGAGGATAGGCTGGGGATCCAGGCCAATCTTAACAGGCTTGCAAGGTGGGTGGATGAAAATCTGATGGCATTCAATACAGAAAAATGCAAGGTGCTCCACCTTGGGGAAAAGAAACCCCACATCACACAGGCTCAGCAATGCTACACTCGCTAGCATCACAACCAAAAGAGACTTGGGGGTTATGACTGACCACAAGATGAACATGAGCCACCACTGTGATACTGCAGCCAGCAAAGCAAACACAACTCTGGCTTGTATCCATAGATGCTTCTCAAGCAAGAGTCAGGATGTTATCTTCCCACTGTTTTCAGCCTTGGTGAGGCCACAGCTGGAGTACTGCATGCAATTCTGGGCTCCACAATTCAGGAAGGACATGAAAGAGTCCAGAAGAGAGCCATGTGCATGAGCAGAGGGCAAGAGAGCAGGTGTTACGAAGAGAGACTGCAAGCTATGGGATTCTTCAGCCTGGAGAAGCGCAGGCTCAGGGGTGACTTGGTGGCAGCCTATAAGTACATAAAGGGTGTGCATCAGGATCTGGGGGAACACCTGTTCACCAGAGCACCCCAAGGGATGACAAGGTCCAATGGTCACAAATGCCTGCAAGACCATTTTAGGCTGGACATGAGGAAAAACTTCTTTACTGTTCAAACCCCCAGACTCCCCCCAGAGGTGGTGCAAGCACCTACTCTGGACACTTTCAAGAAACATTTGGATGCTTATCTTGCTGGGAACCTTTGACCCTAGCTGACTTTCTTCTCCTTGGGCAGGGGGCTGGACCCAATGATCTTACGAGGTCCCTTCCAGCCCTAATGTCTATGAAATCTATGAAATCATCTTTTGGCGCTTGATGACTTTTCCTGCCTTCAGCACACACAATTCTATCCAACTAGGCTGGATTGGATTTTGGTTTGTGAAACTAGAATGAAGCCCCTTGATCTAGCTGATGCCAAAACAACTGGGTTTCCATGGCTTCGAAGGGTAGCATGCAATCGGAAGTTGAGCTGTGAAGGAAACGGATTTGTTTCGGGAAGAAGCATTTTCTGTAGCCCGAAATACACACCCTGCACTGCGTGTAAGCAAACAACTTGTTAGAATAACAAACTGTGGTAATAAGATTATCCTTCTAATGGTTGCCACGGTAACCCATTTTCTCAAAATGCAGCTGTAATATCTTGATTTAATCATCATTGAAATAAACAGCAGCTTGAAGCAATTCAATCCCCTTACATTCTCTTGCTAACATGGCTTGCAGCTCAGTTCAGCCTCATATTTAACACATCTTAATAGGGGACCATATTCTGCCACGCAATACTTACATTTATCCTTTTGAAAGCACTGCTGAAGAACTTTTGCAAGCAGCTAGTCCAGGCCTGGCCAGCCCATGACATTCCTGCCACAAGTGGCACAGGCAGCTTGTGTGCACGTGGCATGCAGCAGACCATGGAGGGGACAGGCAGCACACTGCCACATAGGGGAGGGAGCAGGAAGCAGAGCAGCAGATGGAGTAGGGAACACAAGGCAGAAAGCAGACCCAGCAGGGAAGGGGATCCCTGTGGCATTCAGAGAAGATGCAGGCCTAATTTTGGCACTCAAAAAGGTTGGCCGCCATTGAGCCAGGCAACAAGTTGTGGTTACCTCCAGTGACCAGGCCACAACTGCGGTGAACCTCTGCGGTCCCGCATTTGAGCAGGTGAAGTAACCTGGAGTCTGCTCTTCCCAGCACCATTTCAAGGTATCAAGGCCCAGATCCAAAAAGGCAGGTGTGGAAACCCATTGGTCTCCGGGAACGTTTGAAAGCTGGGCCTGTGGCAGGGCGGTGAATCACGCTCAGTGCAGCATGCTGGTTCTGGGTGTCAGGGCGACAAGACAGAACCACGTTTCCCGGCCCAGGCGGGTTTCCCCACGCACTGGGTTAAGCCGCGAACCCGCCGCGAGGGGCAGGGCTCAGATTCCGTCCAGGGCTTTAACCGGGGGTCGCACACGGGCCGCTACAGAACAGAAGCGCCCAGCGATTCCCTCCGCCACGCCCCGAGTCCGATTCTCCGGCGGGCCCGAGCCCCTGGGGCCCCGCCCCCCGCGTGGCGCGGCGCGGCAACTCGCAGCTCCGCAGCCCGCAGGGACAGAGGGGCGGGGCCAGGCTAGGCAAACTCCACCCCCCACGCACTCCACGCCTGCGCACTCCAGAGCAGCGCACTCCTTTCTCCTCCCTTTTTCCCATGCTCGCGGCCGGGGCCAGACGCGTCGTTTGCATAAGCGTTGCGTCACGTGGCAGGTGGCCGCCTCTCTGCTTCCCGGATTGGTCCGGCTGCTCGGGGCCCCGGCACCGCCTCGCCGTGGGCGGGGCCGGCAGAGGTCGCTTCCGGCGGGAGGGGCGGTTGGAGAGGCGGGGCGGAGCTGCTCCTCTCCCCTCCCCCTTCGCGCGGAGCCCGAGAGGAAGCGGCGGGGAAGGATGCGTCTGTGGGGCCGGCGGTGACGGCGGGCGGGGCGAGGCGAGGCGAGGGCAGCCCAGGGCAGGGCAGGGCGCTGGGCGGGGAGCGCGGGCCGCCAGCGAGGGGCGCGGAGCCCCGCCGCGGGGCGTAGGCCTCGCCCCAGGTGTAGGCAGTGCCCATTCGGGCCTCCCCTCCCTTCCTCGCACCGCACTGCAGCCCCAGTCCCAGGGGTGCACAGGAGCCCCCCACCCTGCCGCCCCCACACACAATAGAGGGGCTCGGACATCGGGCTCCCCCACGACTCGGGCTCCCGACGCTTCCCCACCCCTGTCCGCTGGAGAGGGGGGCGTCTCTGGCCTGCTCTCCTGCCCCCCCACCTCCTCAACCATTCCTCCCAGGGTCCGGGCACCATCTCTGGCCTTTCCCTCTTGCAACCTTTGCAGCTGGTGCATTGTTAAGACTCTTGTCAAAGCTGAGGCAGAGCTGATGGGGTCCTGAGGCTGGGCCTGGGAGGGGGCAGGACAGTCGTTCATAGAGGGGATTTGCGTCAGGTTATTTCTAGCTGGATGGGTGGGGAAGTTCTAGTGAAGCTGCCTCGGCCCATGTTATGCGCTGGGTGAGACGCCAGACCCAGGAAGGAAATCAACAGAGACCCCTCCTAAGCCACCATGGTAAGCGAAAGGCACCAGGGGAGGGTGTGACTGTGTTGCTCACCCTGTGTGTTGTGGGTGGGTTTGGTGGTGCTGCACAGTTTGCTGCATGTGGTAGTGGATATGGGCTGTGGGGAGGATGGTATGTGTCTTTCTGTGGGGATGTACGTTTGTCTGGGATATAACTGATGATTTGCTAGTAGGTTGCTCGTCTTGCTAAAGGTGAGTATTAATATAACACACTTTCATTAAGGATGTTCTAGAGATACAAAGTTGTGTGCTCAAAAAAAATGCTTTTGATAATGTAGGGGTTTGTAATGGACATCTAATGCAACCAAAGTGGTAACCTGTAACAAAGAGTGTTAAAAACAGTGACTCCTTTAGTCAGGA